AAAGGCATGGCAGGCGGGAAGAGAAAGAGAGAGTAGACCGACCAAAGGTTGCAGCCACCCTGAAAGGGGCCGGTGGATGTCAGCGGGAAGTAAGGGCACACACCCATACATGGTGGCTACCTGACACTCCTATGCACCCCCTATATGTCACCACTGCATCGGGTACATACCAGCATTACATTTAGATTGTTGTAACTGGTATGCAAGCATTCACAGTGTCTTGGCCGGCCAGAGCAGACTCGAGGTGATTAAGAAATCGCTCGTTCGTTTGGGCGGGCTGGTGAATGGAGAGGCAGACAAGGTTTAATGGTTGCAAAACGTTTACTTATGCCGCGTGGAGTTGCGACGCAGCTGGTCCGGTCGTCTGAACAGCCACGTGAGTTGTTCCAGCTGGCGGGGCCCAAGCCAGTGAATCTGTCCGTAAATTAAGCCGGTGGGAAAAGGGTACGTCTGGGATTGCGCTCGGCGACGGGAAGAAAGATCGATAGGTGATCAGTCTATCGATCAGCTAGCCACAAGTCAGATCTCTTTAGAGGCACTCTGCAGCGTGCTCAAAGTTCTTCGACTTAGGCGGAAGTCACGTGAATTTTTAAACGGCTAGCAAGCCAATTACTAGCCGCCATGTAGGAATAATTTAGAGCTGGCCAATAGCGGGACACAAATTTGCATTGGAATAGCGGGAACTCTTTGCACCGTGCATTTCTGTGCTGCAAAGAAGAAATGCACCCTGCAAATTGGTGGGAACTCTCTTGCACCGAGGCTCTTCTGTGCAGCAAAAACCGTCGCTGTGCAAGAGGCTCTCATGTGGCAAGAAAATTCCATTGTGCCGAGGCACCAAAATCACTGGGTTGTGACAAGGCTTATAAATCGTGACCCATGAGGACAAGATGAGTAAAATTTGTTATTTCTAAGAAGGAGAAGAAAAGATTTAGAAATAAGCATTATTATACTTTATTTTATAAAACCAATTCTTCTTACTTTCTTAATAAGTATTGCTTACAAAGGCTTCAAGTTGAATTTTCCATTTTGGTCAGGTATGCCTTGTGATTTCTTATAAGTTTTGAAGAAGCCATACCGGATCAATTTACTTTACACTAAAAGGCATGAATACTGAAGACAGAATTAAACGTATTAAAGATCAAAATACTTACTTCTGCACTTCTTCCCATCGATGTCTAAGACAAATCCTTTGTGACACTTGCAGATGTATGAATCATCATTGTTAACACAAACATGCTCACAGCTGTGGTCAACAGATTTGCAGATATCTTCACCTGATAATAGTTTTGATATTTAATATAGCATCCCATTTAAAGCACTTCTGTAAATTCAAAGATTACAAGGACAATATTCCAAGAAAAGGATTCTGATCTTCTTTGTGTATAACGACATATGCAAATAAATGTCAGGTTACTAACTTCAGCAAGTTTTCCCATTGTCTCTTAATATGAATTCCTCATTGCACTGGCAGGGATATGAATTGTTAGTATTAATGCAAACATGCTCACAGCCATGGTCAATGGACTTACAGAGGTCTTTATCTGTGAATTGTTAAGAAGGTTTGCTAATTAAATCACTTTTACAAATGCAACCATCATAAGGACGATCTTCCAGTTAAAGGAAAACTGAAGTTTCTTCTCTTCTTATCTGCTGAAGACACAATTGTATGGTAAAGATCAAGCTACTTACTTCTGCATGTTTTCTCATCCTCTCTTAATATGAATCCTTCATGGCACTGGCAAATGTATGAACTATCAATATTAACGCAAAGATGTTCACAGCCATGGTCAACTGAATTGCAAACATCTTTATCTGAAAATGATTGAGAGCACTTTCTCGTTAAAACACTTCTTGGAAAAGAGAGATTACTACTTAATCTTCTATTAAAGATCAGGCTACTTACTTCTGCAAGTTTTCCCATCCTCTCTTAGTATGAATCCCTCATGGCACTTGCAGATGTATGAGTCATTACTGTTAATACACACATGTTCACAGCCATGATTGATTGATCTGCAGAGGTCTTTCTCTGAAAATTTTCAGCGAATTTGATAGTTAAAACTCTTCTTGAGATGCCTAGATTACTAGATCAAAGATAATCCCCTAATAAACTTCAAGCTACTTACTTTTACATGTTTTTCCATCCTGTCTCAGTATGAATCCCTCATGGCACTTGCAGATGTATGAGTTGTCGCTGTTAACACACACATGTTCACAGCCGTGGTTGACTGATTTGCAGAGGTCTTTATCTGAGAATTGTTAAGAGAATTTGATAGTTAAAACTTTTCTCGAGATGCCCAGATAACTAGAACAAGGATAACCCCCAATAAATGGCAAGTTACTCACTTCTACACGTTTTTCCATCCTGTCTCAGTATGAATCCCTCATGGCACTTGCAGATGTATGAGTTGTCGCTGTTAACACACACATGTTCACAGCCGTGGTTGACTGATTTGCAGAGGTCTTTATCTGAGAATTGTTAAGAGAATTTGATAGTTAAAACTTTTCTCGAGATGCCCAGATAACTAGAACAAGGATAACCCCCAATAAACGGCAAGCTACTCACTTCTACATGTTTTTCCATCCTGTCTCAGTATGAATCCCTCATGGCACTGGCAAGTATATGAATCATCATTATCAACACAAGCATGCTCACAGCCATGGTTGACTGATTTGCAGATGTCTTTACCTGGGAATGGTTTAGCTAATGTTTAATGCAGTTTCCTAATGGAATATTTTTATAAACTTACAGGGCTAATTATACAAGTAAAGGGAGACAGGAAGCAGAATATCTGGAAGTGAATCTGTAAATTTTTGAGTAATGTCAGATGGTTATTTATGTGGGACATTAGTTTATCTCCTATACGTAAAAAGGAAATGCATCATTTGGATTGCCTTCATTTGGAAAGTAATCTTCTTGGACTAGGGACAGAAGTTACATAAACCAGTTTGAATATGGCTGAAACTGTTTTAAGATAAACCTGGTTGAATGTAGTATCAGACAGACTTAATTCATCGAGGTCAAACTGGTTTATGTAACTTCTGTCCCAGACCCCTTCCTGGTTTAAGTTAAATCACAGTCCCCCAGCATGCCTTGCAGCTCTGGGCTGGGCTGGGATATCTGCTCCAGCAGAGCAGGGATGGCCCCACCCCCTGCTCTCTAGCCAGAGCAGTGAGGGCTGGCTGATAAGGGGGTAGGGGTGGGAAGGACTAAATGACCTTCTGAGGTCCCTTCCAACCATAATTTTCTATGATTCTATGGAAGTTGACACATTTAAAATAGGAGGCAAATTTATAACATGGAGAATTATTATCCATTGGGACAATTCACTAAGGGAAATTTGGTCGATTCTTTATCATAGGCAATTTTCAAATGAAGATTGGCTGTTTTTTTTAAAGAAATGCCTACTTGAGATAATTAAATCAGGAAAGGCCTATGGCCTGTGTTAGGCAAATTAGATTAGATTATCACAGAGTTCCCTTTTGGCCTTATTAATCTAAAAAAAATCGTCCATTAAAGGGCTGTGAGATCCCAATGTACAGTGGAGATCAAGCTACTTACTTTGACATGTTTTTCCATCCTCCTTCAGTTGGAATCCTCTATGGCACTGGCAAACGTATGAATCATCAGTATTAACACAAACATGTTCACAGCCATGGTTGATTGACTTGCAGATGTCCTTGTCTAGGAATAGTTTAGATGACATTTAATACAGTTGGCTAGCTAAAACACTCTTCATAGAAATACAGATTACAGTGATAAGAATAATTATTGTACACTGAAAGGGATGTGAAGTTACTTCTTCTTTTCCT